TATCTAGGCGACTAAACCAAGTAAACAATAAAAGCAAATCGAAACTGAGGGGGAAAAACAGAAATGAAGAAAATGAACAGAAAAACAAGAAACACGGGTCAAATCCAATGGTGTAAACCGGATAATCGATTTAATAAATTTTTTGGGGAGTTTTAAAATTAAGTTCGGATGCCAAAACATGCTCATCGCCCCTCTACCTCTCAGAACATTCCCGCCGCCCAAAACTAGTTCACCGCCCTTCAGCAGCTTCTACTGCATCCCGGTAGGGGGGGCGATGCTGCTGCCGTTGAGAACCAATACTCTAGATCAGTACAGTTGCTCCGTAAATATCCGTATAAAAACAAAAGTTTAGAAATTTCAAATTTAATGCTGCGAATTAAATAATAAAGAAATAATAATTAAATCACATAATAAACCAAGAAAAGGGTTAACAATCTAATCGGAAGTAAACACATCAAATTGAAACAAAAACAGTTCAATAAAATAAAATAATTGTTTTTGTACTACCGCGAAAAATGCTAAAAACTGCTAAAAAAAAATTTCAAGGCAAAATCAAAGTCTTTTTGCTTTTGATTTAAGTTACCAAAAGTAAAATAAGTAAGAACTTGTAATAATAATGAATGCAAAAATGTTCACAAATTAAGGGAAAATGGAACAACCATATAAAAATTGAAGTCTCATAGCTTAAAAGCGAAAAGGAATAATAATTACAAAATGACTATTCATTTTTCCGTTCTAGGCTTGAAAATTGAAAAGGCAATATGCCTAAAATTGGGTAAAATAAATAAAAATAATATTAGAAAAAATTATTCAGAATACCTATATTTGAAAATTTTGCTACATATAAATCTATTATGTATCCTAAGTCGCACTTTCGAGACATGAAAAACGCAAGTTAATTTCGTTAATCGGCCGAGTAAAACAGAAGATATTGAACTGCTCCCCACTTTTTTTGTGCAAGTTTACCTGTTGTAAACTACAATATTAAAAAAAAAAAAACAGTAATTACTTTAAAATACTTCAAACTGATAATCTTTTTTTTCCCGAGAACTGAATACTTTCTTTCTAAGCATTCATCTGGAATTATGACTGAATCCATCAGTCATTTAGCCGTAACTAATAACGTCTCTCATTGTTTGATCCACATTACATCCACAAGAACGTTCAAAACAACACACATATAGCCAAGCCTTACACCGAAATAGAAACTTTGGGTTGCAAAAACTTTTGTTGGCATCATGTCCAAGGGGCTAAAAAGGTTTTTTCAATAATCAGCAGTAGGTTATGTCAAATCCTGAGACTACTAGAATTTAATGCCTCAAATACATTTTATCGTCTTTTATGTGCAGCTAAAAGTTTAAAACTAGTTTAAAACGTCGTCTATATTTCGCATTCAACTGACCAGTAATGATCTTGACAAACAGTATCTCAGTAATTATGTTTCAAAAGGCTGTCCAGAACGAACAGCTGGCTCATTTCCATATACAGGGTATATCAGTATAGCGGTGACAAACTTTCAGGCGAGGTAGAGTATACCTAGACGATGGGAAATCGCATAACAATGCATGCTCGAAAACGCTTTCCTGGCGCGGTAGTGACAACACAAAAGCCAAGAAAAAAAGGACACGAACGGGGGTGAGAAAACATGTTTATTATTCAGAATGCAGCAGAAACAATGAAAAACAACATAAAGAGACAAAAATCATCATCAAAAAAGATGTTCGAAATTACGCCACGGACCGTGATACAGGAACCATGCGTCATGCATTTCCCATGTGATCCTCCATTCGTGATGCAGGTTTTCCATGCGCCAGAGAAGTGACGCCTGCTTCACGGGTCGTAATTTCGAATACCTTCTTTAATGACGATAGTTGTTTGTTTTTGTTCTTATTTGTAGGTTTCTGCTGTGCTAAACATAATAAAACATTTTTTGCCTCACTGTTTGTGTCTTTCCTTTTTTGCGTTTTGTGCCGTCACTACCGCGCTAGGAGAGTTTTTCCGACCATGCGTTGCTATGTGATTTCCCATCGTCTAGGTGTACTTTATCTCTCCTAAAAGTTTGTCACCGCTGTATACATACGTAATAAAACTATTATTGTGATATTCATTATTGTGATATTCATTATTGTGATATTATATTCATTATTGTGATAAAACTGCGTTATTATTGAAATAAGATGATTTCCTAAGAGTTGCAACGGATTTGTGTCGGAAAGGACTGCATCATAAATTGAAGACTTTCCTTCGTAGTTAAAACAATGGATGCATAAACCAAAAAAACTCTCAGACATGGCCTGAATTCCACAAATAATTTTATTTCTGGATAATGCACCCCCGCCCCAATTTAGTACAATTTACATTTTAAACAACGGAAGAAATCAGAAAAGTAAAACTCCGCAAGGCGACACAGACTAGAAGCAGAAGTGAAAAATCAAAGAAGAGAGAATTGCATTTTATACCACCGGATTACATTTCCGATTACATGACAGTTTAATATCCAGATGTAGAGTTCAGATTTTATGGATAAGTGGGCAATACATATTAAATAAAGGATCTTTTTCATTTAGTTAGAAAATTTATTGCTCTGTTATTTCTAGAATGAAAACAGGAGTTAAAGGGCCATTAATTTGTTATTTGAAAGCCTGATTTTATATTTTACATATTAGATATATTTCATATCCCCCCTTCAAGAAGAAAACGGCTGGGTGAGAGAAAAAGTTTGACAGGATACATATCGTGTGCGTTAAAATTCCAATGGAAACGTTATTGCAGTGTCTGCATTAAACAACCACATCTTCAAACTTCGACGCGTAAAAGAAATTCGGAATGGATATCGAGTATCTGCAAGTTCAAAAATCTGAAAGAGAAAAATAAAATACGATATCACTTCTTGAAGCAGAGAAGAATAAATGTTTCGAACCAAGGTAATTTGATCAGTGTCGCAGCGTAATGAAATGTGATTAATACCTTCTTGTTCGCTTTAAATATTCGCAATGTTTATGCATTTCCGATCATGGCGTAAAAGTAAATTAAAGTGCTTTCAATGTCAACAATCCTTATTAGTGAAATGTGGAATACGAAATAGTGTTTTGTGCTCGTTTGTGTTTTTTGTGCTCATCTCATTCAAAGAATGGAATATCATCAAAAGTGGTGTTGAAGTGCTATTAAGTTCCAAAAACCAATGATTTTTCATTGAATAAATTAAGTTTTAAAGTAATATTGCATTTATAAGTAATTTTATTGTATTATGATTTATTGATAGTAATATTTTGTTTAAAACATTTTAAGATGAAAAGTCATTAATTAAAACAGCTTATGGTTTATTTATAATGTAGTTTCTTATATATGAGTCAAAAAAGGAATTTGGTAAAAAGTGAAGAATTTTTAAGATTTTACTTAGGGAAGGTTCCTAATGCGATTAATATTTTGGTAGTATTGTTTAACTGTTTGAATTCCCATTTTTGAATTTTTGCAATATTTTAAGAATGAAATTATTGTTTGAAAATTTTAAATTCTATGAATTTCTTCAACGTTTACCTTGGAAACATTAAAGAAATAAGTGAAATTAATGCAGATAAATAATATGAAATTATGGTAAATGCATGTTGAAACGTATGAGTGACTGTATGTTAAGTATAGAGTATGTTGAGGAAGTACTGGTTCCGAAACAGGGGCCTGTTATTACCTCTGTACAACTGTTCCTTTTACCCTCTTCATATAAGATAATGTTGGAGGCTTTCATTTCATGATAGCGTGTGATATTTTTATGAATTATTTTTATTATGCTTTTTTATTATGGAATGTATTAGTATAATTCACAAAGCCCAGTTACCTTATGCAAGGAACGGAGGCCTTTTCAAGTAATTGCATAAGCATCTCTGAGCCACTAGTGCAGAAGAACACACTGGTTTGCTCAAGAGGATAGTCCTACCGCTGGAAATGTTTGTTTAGAAGTACCGTGGGGCCTTCAGTTGGGTAAAATCAGGAATTCAAATTAAAGATAATAACGGTGAAACCATAATTTCTGAAAATGTTATTCCTATTAGATTTATGTTGTTAAAATATAATTTATCAATATGTGAATTAGTATCATAAATATTTATGTGTGTTACAGCTAATTATAACTAAAGATTATGTAAAAATGTCTATTTGTGATACTCCGTGATAACAAAAAAAAACCTTCCCTGAAGTTCACATAACCGTAAGATTATGTGAACTCTCAAACAAGAAGGCATTTGGACTGAAACGCTGAAAAATTTGATAGGACTTTAAAAATTAAATTTATTTTTAAAAATTGATATTCATAAATTATACTTTACAGTAATTTATATAATTATTGCTGATCAAAATTTTATGATTTACGTTTTTCTTCCTTTTTAGTCCTTTAACGCTTTTCTTTAAAAAGGCTTCTCTGTCGCTACGCCTTTTTCTTCTTGAAAGGGGGGGAATGTAAAAAAATAAAATTGGCAGCTTAAATTCCCTTCCGTATTCTAAAAATAATAACGTCTATTTGCATTGCGTCGTTTCGAAACTAATCCATGTCATATGATTCTTACATAATTCTGAAGATGCAAAAGGAACTAAAATTCAAACAGCCAATAGTCATTTTAAAGCAATATTAACTATCCAATCAAAATGCATTGAGAACCAAAACTAACTCAGTCTGAATTAAGATTTCACCTGAACATAGCGCACTTGCTTTCTACGCTTTGACCTAGCTGGACTGTAGTCTGTCTGCTCTTTTCTTACTGCAGATTTATCTAAAATGCAAATTTTTTGGAATAGGCACAATTAATGTGCCAACTTGATTGTGGCCGCAACATGTTTACTGAAATAAAAATTGAATCAAATATACCTTGACTGCCAAATTTCGTATTTACTGTGGATCGGCGTTTCAGCATTCTACAACATCAAAATTCTCGCTGTTCATTAGGGATTCAACCGCCTGCGTTCTACTACAGAATCTATTACATATATATCTTTTGATTAAATGGACTTTATTAATTTATGATAATTTTTATTAAAATATCAATAAATAATACAGACACATAGAAATTACACAGAGAAAATTTTTTATGGTTGGAAATTGTGTAGTGTTTCGATAAGCAGACAATTAGAGTGGAGAAAAATTAATTTCTTTTCAGAGTGAATTCCTTGCTATTTTCCTTTAAAAAACGGTTTTGCAGTTGTTTTCAAACTTTACAAAGCTCATTTTAGGAAAATGATAATTCTAATATCAGACTCATTATTTTACCATTTCTTTTTTAAGAAACCTGAATGGGTAACAGTTTGTGTTTGAGGATTTTTTTATAAAAATATCGACAAATTTTAATAAAAGTAATCAGATAACATAGCTATTCAATCAGCATCATGCAGAGTTTTGCAGAAGTACAGATATGTATGAAATTTGCAGAAGTACGGAACTGTATTCGCACAAGACACATTTCCGAAAACATGTCACCGTAAAATAAATTTAGCCGTTATGTATTTCCTAATGCTTTCAGGTTAAGTTTGCTTTAGATTTGGGTAAATTTTACTGACAATTAAATTGGTATTACACCTTCATTTATCTTCATTACAGCTTGATCAATATTTTCCAATTTTGTGATGATGTAATTCAAGTAATTCTCAATCTGCATTAATCTGTTATCTGTCTCTACCCATGATCTTGCCAACTGCTGCTGTGTTGCGCACTTTTTTATTGTTGACCATTGTAAGATGAAATCATCTAAGTCTAAATGAGATTGCACATCATCTTCATCTTCTGTAGGCCTGTCGTCATGAATTGGTGTACTCTGTGATTTTGCTCTGAGAGAAAATTCTTTAGATTTGGATCTTTTCATTGATTTCGTGTTATATTTTGCATTTTGCTCATATTGCAACAAGTGAACTTTTTTCACCAGATCTCTCAGGTAACTAATCCTGGAAAAGAAGAACATATTTAATTATTTTATTGCATATTTTGATGAGAATGACTAATGATGTTCGATACATAGAAATGCGTTCGTTATTACTGAATGCTTGTACTGTAAAATAAATTAATATTTTTGGCCATTTGAACTCCCTTTATCAATAATGATTGAAATGTAATATAGCATTTGCTCAAAAATAGGACCCTCTTTACATTTTAAGATAAACTTTAAGAAATAAAATTATGGTGAATATTTATTTTGTCTTGCATGAATTCGAAGTAAAAGCATCTTAGTTTATTAGCTTTCTTTTAGAATTTCCTTAAATTAACAGTACCGTTAGTTGTGGTCCACAGACTAAGAAAAAATTAATGATAGATCACTTTGGGATTTCAAAACATTTCAATTCAAAGTTTTTCTGTGCTTCCACGCTGCTCAGTGGCGTGCAACACAGGGAAGGAAGGCGAACCTCCCTCCCCGAGTTTCACCAATGTTTTGTCAGACGAATCTGACCATTATTACCTACATGTTTTCAGGCTTATCAGTATAGTGGATGCAGGCTGAAACTGAAATCGCTTAACTAGACATGGTCATTATGCATTTATTTACATCGCAATTAGGCGTGTGAATTATTTAATATTTAAATAGTGTATTTATTTTGCGTAGTATGATAATTAAGCTGCTTCCTCTCGTACTGCGGCTCACCAGCGGCCGAGCGGTAAAGTCGCTGAACACTTGTAGCTCAGTCCGGAGTTCGAATCCCCGACGAATGAGCTGGCTGTATGAGTGCTTTTGTGTTTTACCAGATGTGTAACGTGTATAGAAGCCTGTTTCTCTTAGAAAGTCTTCCATGAAGGCATCTCTTCCCTTAGGCAAATATCCCGCATGTGTTTTTGCCGTAATCAAATCAACCATACCTCTCATACTGCGATTTCACATATCGAAATACGTTTTTGTAAGATCCCTACCATAAGTTAGAAGAAACGTAAAAAAAGAAGGGGGGCTTATTTTCAAGTAAACACTTGCTAACTTTTAATAAACGTAAACATTGCTATCCATCTGAAGAATTCTAAGGTCTGATTTCCTAAAACTGATATATTAAACTGTTTCTTTTAGGAATAATATATCAGTTCCTAAAACCGATATATTACTCTTGATAGTAGTTTCAAAACTGTTTTTTCATGCTACTGATAATTAAAGTTGCTGTTTAAGTAAGTTATGTATTCAAATAACAGAATTCTTTAATTTAATAATTCACAGGAACTAAACACAACATATACTTCCATATTCTAAGATCCTGACAGAGATTTTCTTTAGCTCACAATTTTTATGTTTCGGTAAAGTTAAATTCAGTTTACAAAGGCAGGAATTTTTGTAGAGCATGTTATAAAAGTGAGTGTTATAAAATCTTTCGAACAATTTGCATAAATCATAAGAAGAAAAAAAGACAAAGAATAAATATGCAGAACTAAAAATAAGAATAATCATAATAACAAAACTGTTAGAGGGATTTTCATAAGATAAAATCATTATAAAGGTGTAATAGAAATAATTTTATGAACACTTATTAAAGGCACTTAATTTTATAAATTAATGTTAGCCCACTATGTAAAAACGCGAGAAATATTTTGAAAAACGAAAGCAATTTGCTTTCTTATAACAGGGAAGAGGATTACAAAATTAAGGGGCGATTAAACAAGGTAAATGTAGCAATTTTTTAGTATAATGCATAGTGTAATCTGAACACAGAAACACAGTATAAACACGGAAAACGAGAAGTCGTTTTAATCGTATATATTTATAAGAAATAGAGTTTTATATTTGCAAGAATTTTCAAATGGACAGACAACAACCGCAATAAATACATTAAAAAGACGACGGAGGCGTTGGCCGATATTTTAGAAAATACCCGGCACGCCACTCACTTTTGTAGCATCGAGGGTATTTTTCTATAATCTTTATACTTACTGGTATTTCCATGTTTACATTTCCCATTCCACTACAGGTAGGTTCACCAGGGGCAGAACACTAAAGTCACTGAACTCTGGTAATTAGATTCTAGGCTAACGTTCTGTTTGCGGTAACATTTTCATGGCTTCCTCCGTGCGGTAACGTGGATACAAGCCAGTTTCCTCAGAAAGGTCCTCCACAAAGGCTAGGCAGATTTCCCTCCCGTGCATTGTTGTGAAACAAATAAACCAAAACCACTACACATTATTGCATTTCGAAAATTGTTGCTTTTGCCATGTTCTGTCTCTCACTGAACAAAGTTACTAACAGGAAAAATAATATTTAAAATCACAGCTGAAACAAAAATAAAGCAACAAAACAAAATAAATAAATAGTAGTTGAAAATTCTTTAGCGTTCTTGAAGGAGCAGAGGAAAAAATTGTCCATGAAGCCACATCTTGATTATTTAACTAAGACAGCAGCCTACTGCGTAACTTTAATAATTATTAATCTTAATTTTACAATTTCTAATCAGTGCAATTTATTTATACCAGCGATTCTCAACCGGTGGTACACAAGAGAAAAATAAGTGGTACGTAAAAAGAAAGGAAGCATTTTTAACTATTGAATTCAAAAATTAAATACCCGACCATCCTATTTAAGGTTTTGCTCTAAAACTCGTAAATTTATGCGATCTGAGCTTTGAGTCATAGCCGTTCATAGATTTTAGCAAAATAATCCGTTTTTATTTTCACAAACATTCTTTTAGCCGTAGACATAACAAAATTTGTCATAAATGATATTTTTAAAAGGAAATAGAAATGGATGTTGTATTAAATAGGAGATAAAAGTAAGTTGATATATAAAGGTAATAGTATCTCATTAATTCTTTTAGAGCTAATAGATTTATTAGCATTTCTACACTTTATATCGTCATCATCTTCGTGCTCATATTGCTCTGTTTTCAATTAGAATAATTCTTTACGTCGATTTGCTAACTCTAACAGCAGGTATTTTGTCTTCTTGCTGCTTTCTATTCCTTACTTTTCTACCCGATTTGGGAATATCGTCGTTTGTTTTTGAAGAACTCGTATTATATAGTACATTTAAATATTTGCGAAAAAATAATAAAACAAAACTATAGTTTCAAAATGAAAAAATGGCTAGGATTGACTAAGCAAAAAAGCGATGAATCACAGGTGATGGATCCAGTGACAATGCTAAATGATAGAAGTTCATTTTGCTGCAGAAAAAACAATCTTCATTTTGTAGAGTCATTGCGAGTTTCACCACGAAGGCTTGTGGAAAGAAGGAGAGAATACTTTATATACTCTTCCCTATTAAAGGGCGACTGGGGATTAGAGGGCCCAATCGCTAAATGCTGGTGGTGACAAATCATCGTTCAACACCTTTTTTTATTTAGGGCGCCACAAGTAGATTCATTAGTTTTTAGTCCAAAGCGGCTTTGTCCCTGAAGGACTATTGTTTTCGTTTTGCGATTTTGCATTGAATTACTATAAATGTCCGTTTCACTTTTCAAACTGTTGTCACCAAATATTAGAGTCCTGCATTATATTTGAAGAAATTAAATAATCAAAAATCTGCATAAATGTATGTATATTTCTCGCATTGTGATAAAACAACGGTACCTAGAGCCATCGAATTTTGAATCCTCCTACGAATATGGGCATGTGAAAGACCAAATTTGAAATTTGGAATTTGTTTTATTATCGATTTCATATTTTGTAAAACTTTAACGAATTTTTGAGTAACAAACTCAACGATTTCAAAGCGAGCAATGGCAAAACTTTACGGTGGAAAAAAAACCTTTGGTACTTTTCCGTTTCGCGGCGCAAATCTCGCCAAGCAGACTTTATTGGCGACAACATACAGTATACACATAAAAAATATTTAAAAATATGTTAGTTCTAAGAATTCTTTTTAAAAAAGAAGGCATAAACATTTTAATATCGCTTAAAATTTTATAAAAAGCCAATAAATAAAGACAACAAATTTGTAAAAAGACATTAATTTAAGAATTTATTTACTATGCTTTCATGGTTCAACATCCTGATTCGCCGGTTCATATCACGTGACCCCAAGCGATCTCATGTCACGTAAACTACTCTACAAAAATCTAATGCTCTCAGTAATTATCTACATTAATTTCATGTTAAATCTTAATTTGGAACACAAGTCTAAATGCAAGAAATATTTCAATTTCGTACGAATAACTTACTCAGAAATTATGTAAAACTGCAGTGCTTTACTTCGCTAATGCATTCTCATTAGAATTGATGAATTTAACCCTTGACATTAACTTTTCTATATTTTCGGCTTCGGGTAAACGCTGATTGCATCCTAATTGACTTAATTGCCGAAAATTGCCTTAGACATAAAACTGAACTATCTGATAAAAATTCTATGTAATGATATGCCAGTATTGAAAGAAACAATCAATCTGATAAGAAAAAGCTGCGACTTGTTTTGAAAATGAGGCGTAAAAGGTTACCAGCGAGAACATTCCGTTTGGCATCGGTTGTACCATTATTGACGACTTTATCGCTTGCGCCGGCAAAACGGAAAAGTACCAAACCTTTTTATCTCCAGCGCGCGGAACTCTGTACGGAAATTCTAAAGATATGCTCACTTTAAAATTATTTTGCGACATTGCTATTGAACTGAATTTTATGGTTTAAGTGCAAACATGATATTTAATAAATAAAGGTAACACACAAACGTTAAAAGGGCCCACCAGCGGCCGAGCGGTAAAGTCGCTGAACACTGGTAGTTCGGTCCGAGGTTCGAATCCCGCGAACGGGCTGGCTGCATGGGCGTTTTCGTGGTTTTCCCCATGTGTAACGTGTATACGAGCCAGTTTCCCTTAGAAAGTCCTCCACGAAGGCATCCCTCCTCTTAGGCAGATAGCCCTCGAGGCTTTGCCATAATCACACGCACACACAAAACGTTAATAAACGCCCCTTTGGACTTCATTTAAAATCTGAAACCTTTCAGATTTTTTTTTTAGTAGCAGACGTGAAAAATGTGCAATACCCTCACCGCCACTCGAACCTCGAACCTTGGACCTCTTGAATACACATCGAGTCTGCTTCCAGTTACATCACGAAGGCATGCGGAAAGGAGGGAGAAAATACCGTAATAATATAGAGGTATCGTACATTGGAACAATTTGCCATTAATATCTATTTTGAATTTTTTTTATTTTTTAAAGTTTAATGTGTAAGACGTTTTGATGTAACTGCACTGCGAATTATTGAAAAAGGTTTAATTTTATTTGTAATTAGCACATAAAAAGTATCTAAGAAGCAGTTTAAAATTAATCGTTTAACTAAAATCCCTCTTGATCTGTGTTACAGCTCTAATATAAACCAGTATGAATTATACTCTTCAGAAGTCATGTATAATTACTTTATTAAGTAAGTTAAAAAATATTAATTACAGTTACTAAATTTATGAATAAGTAATAGGAAATAATTATTGAATGTAATACAAACGTTAATGACTAAAATTATCGACAATTTAAATGGAAAAATTGTCTGTTAGGCTGAAAACGTTTAAAACTGTCTTACCTTTGGTCAATTTTTGCTGCTTCAAGGCTTTGCTCATCTGGACTGCTAGCTTTCTTAAGATATTTTGCCCTGGCTTCTTTCTCGAATAGTCGAAGATTGCCCACATATACCCGATGTAATCGTTTTTGCATCTTCCCTGCAAGTTCAAAAATATAAGTGTTACAGATGCGAATAGATAGGTATTATTATGCAAGAATTACCTAAATGATGTAATTTCTTCTTAGGAAAAAATATGTTTCAAGTCGTGCTAAGATTATATATTAAAATTGCTGTGCCATATTTGCTTTCACGTGTACTCCTGAATGAAAACTAAATAACTTATTATAGATCATCCACTAAATATATTAAGATCTCCTAAGAAATCCAAGCTGGAAATCAATACCAATTGCCGGCTGAAGAATAAACCTTGCATGCCAATTGAAGCGTAAACCGTCAACTTAACAAAATGTCAACAAAAGTATTCCTTTATATTTTTCAATTCATTTTACTTCTCTAAAATCGGGTATAATTAACTACTGTTATGTAGGGTAATAGTTATTTTTATTTTGGTTAGGTTTATTTTATCATTTTATATTATTTACGTACCTTTTTGAGTGGTTGTCCTTAAGTACAGATATTAGATGATTGAGGATTTTGGACGTCCGGATGTTGAACTTTGTATTATAAAAGCTTGTAGAGACCTTAGGATTTTTTTGGAAGCAGGCAAGATGAAAAATTAACAACACCTTCGCCTGGAATCGAACCATGTACCTCTGGAATACCGGCTCTGTGTGCAGAACCACTACACCACAAAGGAACGCTAGGAAGGTGGGAGAAATACCTTATATACTCCCCCTTTTAAAGGGCGACTGGAATTTTTAGGGGATCCAATCGCCAAATCCTGGGTGTGGAGAACCTCATCCAACACCCTTTTAGTTCGGGCGACACTGTAGAGACATTAGGATTTTTTTGGAAGCAGGCAAGATGAAAATTCAGCAACGCCTTCGCCGGGAATCGAACCACGGACCTCTGGAATACCGGCCCAGTGTTCAGAGGTTCACACTAGGAAGGTGGGAGAAATACCTTATAAGCTGTCCATTATAATTGAGGTGGAGTGTTTTGGGGTCAAGGGTCTTCAATGATAGTTTATCAGAGGGGTGCATCTAAAACCCTTTGACTAATCTAAAACCCTTTGACTGCTTAAGAAAGTGGACATATTTTGGAAAATTTACCTGGCTTCTCCTTCTAATCATAATCTCTCCTCTAATCATCTATATTTCTTCCCCTAGTTGTCTAAGTGCACGGACTACCTTATTTTGACAATTCGTCTGGACGGAGAAAGTCTGCCATTGATCCTCATTAACCACAAGAGAGAGGAAATTGAACTTGCTGCATTCTTGAAACTGAAATGACCTGGTTGGTTCACACAATCAGCCATAAGCAAATGGGTGAATTTAATGCTATTATTTATTTGCAAGGTGACCAAAGAGGTTTGCTGATCTAGGTATTAAGCTACCACCTTGGCAGGAAAAAATAGACCAAATAATGAGCTCAGTAACAATGATTGCCTACCTACATACTCTTAATACTGCAATAAATAAGATATTCAAGGATCATCATTTGCGAATGGAAACCAATGACTACATCGAAAACAGAATAGAGAAAAATCAGCATGTAAACTTTTTGAAACTAGCCTGTAAGAGATCATGATTCAGGGAAAGAATTCATGAAATAAAGTTTTCTAAAGTGTTTTTTCTAAAGAACTGCGAGCAGTTAAAACTTCAAGTTACAATTAGCTTTGCGACAATGTTCCAGAAGAAGATGACTGTAATTAAAAGAACTACAAATTTTTATACATACATATAGTAATAAATTCAGAGAGTTGTAAAGTAATAAATGAGCTGTACTTGTAAAAACAAGATATTCGCTGAATAGGATTACTAATGTGTCTTTCGAAACAAACATTAATATGAAACCTGGTCTTATTCTCAGGTAAATATTATAATCTAGCATAACACTAGATCAGACTAAATATTAATCGTAAACCTGACTGTCTGTCTACCTACTGTCTTCAAAAATACATATGAAACTGTCATGCAAACTTTGAAATTAAAATTAACGCACGAATTACCTGAGTAGAATCTTAATCGCCTTTCCTCTTCTCATAATAACAATGCTACCAATTTTAAACTTGATGAATGTTCATAAATACTTTCAAACTGCGATGATAAGTTTTCTTTGAAAATAATATGCTAAGTTAGATATTGCATGGTTAAAGCATCTAAGTTAAACACAAACACAAAAGGTATTTAAATTGTATTTATATAAGATGAAACGTGAAATAGAAACCCCTTTTTTAAAATGTTTTAATGTGGTATGTATTATTTTGTTGCTGTATATTAACGATTAATAGCGCATCTTAAACTTGAGATCTTTAATTTTTCTTTATGTTTGGATTCCGAGACTCTAACAAATATAATTCTTAATTTTATCAAATAAAATAAGTCTTGCAACTTATTTGCATGTCTGCGCAGATTACAATGGCTTGTATCATTTTAGCAAAGACTTACATTTTTCGCTGACTCCTTCATAGCAGCAGCAGCATTTTGAGTACATTTTCTTATACAGCTTTAAGCACAGATAATAGGTTCCATATAGCAAATCTTCAACGATAAGAAAAGGAGGAGGAAGTATGGACCTTCGTGAAAATTGCAATCCAGAAACATAAATTTCAAATAAATATATTTCCCGTGAGTTCGTATTCACTTCGTCAAATACATGGCTGAAACATAAAAAGGGAAAAGATTATGAACGTGCTCTAATTTTTGTTGGCATTATTTATTTAGGTACTTAAGTATTAACGCAATAACTTGGTGCAATTCAGCTTTTTTTTACAGATGAAAACGTAAAAGTTACTTACCGGGTGCAACCGGCAAATTTATGTGCCATGAGGCAGGTTTATTGTTAGGTAGGCGCCAGGCTGGGCTTTAAGAAGTACCGGGAACAAGTTGATAATTTTCGGGGGCTTTTTTTTAAAAAAAATTCCAAAGCTATCGATATTTATCTTAAATCGGCAAGCATTATCAACATATTAAAATAAAATATACTTTAGCAATTTTAAATACAAGTTTTAATTATTAAGTAAGAATTGGATGATACATTAATAAAAATAAAACACATTTTTCGCAAACTCCTTCTGTAATTCTTTTGTTCTGTTCTTCTTCCCATGTGCACAGCGATCTGTTTTTGCGTTAAAAAAATAAGTTGGTTGCACAAACTCGGCACTGTGCCCCAGCTATCTACCAAACGCATCTCATCATTGTTCTCTTTAGCGATTTTGCGGCAAAATACTGTATTCATGCAGTAACTGTTTTACAGCAGTTTCTTCCATTGCTGACAAACAACTGAATTTTTTAATGGGGTCTAAGAACAATAAATAAATAAATGGAAGCATCCTTATCTCTCTATAAAAACCGTCGAAACTTTGAATACAGTAAAAATAATGCATACGAAAATGTCGATGTTGCTTGACTGTAGGAGTGATGATTGTCGGAAGAATAGTTATGCTCATTGTTGGTACATGAAGAAAATTTGTAGACTTCTCACAGTTACGACAATACTTAAGTACCTTCATTTACTTATTTAACATTAAGTAATACTATATGCGCATAAATGCGAATGAACACAAGTGCGAGTGATATTGCTTGTCTAATTTAGCATTAAGAAATCATGCTCTAGAAAATCATACGTTTAAACAAAACTGAAAAAAGAAATAAACTATATAGACGTTTACGATCCATATGGAAATCATTAGTTTTAGATTTTATTTTGAATGCACGCAATAGTGTAAACAAGGACTAGAGTTAGATATTTATTTTATTCATAAAACGCATGGCATAACTTTTTTTTTCCAAAATGCTGTTAAAAAATTCAAATAAAGAGACTTTATATGATTACTTCTGATACACTGATGACCAAAGTGCTTTTATAATATTGCAAATAAAAGAAAGATCTTAAAGCAGCATTCATTTATAACAGTCAGTGCCTCTTCATAATGGACAGCATGCTGTCAATAACTAAAAACTCTATATGTTAAAATAATTAGGAAAGAGAAAAAGGAAAGATCATAGAATTATGGTGTAGAGTTCCTCACTTTGTAATTCTAAGTTAATGTTGGAAGTGAAGAATCTTAAGAACTGATAAGCGAATAATCGCTCCAGTTCGGGTAACAAGAAACAACAAGATTGAAGGGTAACTAACCCTTTATTATTCCAATAAGATTTAACAAAACTCCGCCTGGGAGTGTACAAACAAAGCCCTCACTTGGACTTGAACTTAAGGGACTAAGAATTAAACTAAAACTAAGATTAACTAAAGAAATATAGCCGAAGCTATCAAGATTCAAATCGAGTTGGCCCTTAACGTATTTGACTACGAAGCTTAGCAAGGGCCTGAGTACGGCCGAGCGTAATAACAGCTTTGAGAGAGAGAGAGTGGCCAAAAAGGCAGACGCGCGTAAATCAGAAACTCTGATTCTCTCTGAGTCAGTAACTTCGTGGTTTAAAATTCAGCAAGATTCCAAAACTACGTTCTGGCCGGAAGTAGTAAGTTGAAGTTAAGAATTTGACAGCAAAGGAACTTTAAATTTAACTGTTAATAAAATTAACATAATCCTTACAATGCATTTATGCATTTTGTAAGGTTTTGGTTTAAGGATGCTGTAAACAACTAAAAACTCTATATGTTAAAATAATTAAGAAAGAGAAAAAGGAAAGATCATAGAATTATGCATTTATGCGTTTTGTAAGGTTTTAGTTTGAGGATGCTGTAAACAACTAAAAACTCTACATATTAAAATAATTAGGAAAGAGAAAAAAGGAAAGATCGTAGAATTATGCATTTTATAAGGTTTTAATTTAATTAATTGGTCCTTATTAATAAGTTTTGCTTCCCATCAAACTCTGTCTATTTCAATTTTGTCCAAGTGATGCAAATTAAGGCTTATTTAAGACGCAGCGGCATCAACATATAGATTAGGAAGACTACACTGTACTGTGAAAGCCTGTGGCGATAAGTTTGTCACACTCGCACTGGTTTTCAGCAGACAGAATAGTTTAGCTAAGCAATGAATTCGAAGATAAAAATTTCAGATATTAGTAAATAAACCCAAGATGATAAATTCCGTGTAGCCATTCCTTTCACTGCTTCCGGATGTTTTTTCTATACAGATTCCGAGCTGCTGATATTCTTATTGTATACATTAGAATTTTCATTCTCGCCAATACCTGTGAGTCCTCAAATGTCAATTCAGTTTCTGAAACTATGCGAGTTGGAAAACGAAACAATTTCATTAGGATTTTACTTTACTGTGTCTTACTCTAGTTAATGAAACCTTTGCGTGGATAATAAGGCACCAATTACCAAAACGTTTTGCTAGTTAGTGGTACGATACAAAGCAATTTCGAAATTAAATAAAGGTAGGAAATTTATAATCTAATTAGAAAACGAACCGAAATTTCTATTTGTCTCACATTTCTCAAAAGGTACTTCGTGATTAACCGTTTACCTTCAGATATGCTGAAAATTTATGATATTTTTAAAATATAAAAAGTAAAAATTATTTAATATATTTATTTATCAAATCATAACTGATGACTTGTTATTGTTTAAGGGGAAATGATTTTAAAGTAATTTGTTTTCTTAAAAATTAGCATATTATCTGTTATGGAAACAGTAAATATTTGGGGCGTTTTTGTTACATTTAATGTTGTCAATAACGAATCCAAAGAAACACTTGAAATTTAAAAAAAAATTCTAATTTAAAGTTATTCTTTAGTGATACCGTAGAGCTTAGATTAGGAATAAAGGGTATAAATAAATTTAATGTTATTTGAGAGCTAGATGTATTTGTGAGTTAGATGTAGATATTCGTAAATGGTAACACATCGAAAAATCCTACACACATAAATATATGCACATAAGAAAAAATTTTTAAAAATATTTTAAGCATATTTCTTAGCCATATCGTTTTCTTATTCAATATTCCATTAAATTCATGTTAAGAGAAAACTCTCCAGTTTTAGTAAACGTTGGATATAGGGAACGAAATATGCAACAGGTTTCCAATAAATGGAAGTTGAGCGTATAATAGAACGTGGAAAGTCGCAATTTTCCATTTGCTAAAAGCGTTTCAAGTCATCTTTCAGACTTTTATGTAGAATTTGTTTGAGAAGTGCTCACAATTTTTATTTTAAAGAATTAGAAATTCTGATAATAAAATCGCATAAAACACATACGTAAAAACCGCGATAAGCATGTTGACGAGCAGTATATTTCCGATGAGCATATAGATCCCAAGTAGGATAGGAACAATCCAAGCATGAGGACTTTGGTGGCAATAAGAAGGGTCCGTTTCGCATCTTGGAAACCTGCCTGATAAAAGAAAATGCATTTCTACAGCAATGTTGACTGTAAACAAGTATCTTTTAAACATAATATTTTGTATTTTGTACACATTAAATTGCAAAATATTTTTAAGTCTATGAAACCTTGTGTATTTGCCAAATGTGAAGTGCAAAATATTTTGAAGTCGGCAGTTATTTCATTAAACTGAACTTCTTATTGATAAAATTTGAAAAGAAAATATGTGGGCTTGCCTGTAGAATATACTATAAATACTTCAATTGAACAAAAAATCTTTTCAAATCAGAAAATTTCAGTTATACAATAAATAACAAAATAAATAATTTTTTTAGCATCTAATAGGCTTTTCGAAGCAGGAAACACGAAAAATCAGCTATGCTTTTGCTGGGATTCGAACTCAGAATCTGACAATTGTCAGCCAGATGCTATTTCAATTACAGCATGAAGACACGCCATAAAAAGGAGAAAATTCCTTATATTCTTCCCCACATAAAAGGCTACTGGGAAGAAGAGGATCCAGTCACCAAATCTAGATGATGGCGAATTATCGTACTCAGCATTTTGATTTCAGCTCCAATTATACAGTATAAATAGGCTTTTCGGCTATTATCATTTTCGGCTAAAAATCAGCTATTACTTTACTGGGGTTGGAACACCGGACCTTCCGGCTGCTAGCTGGATGTGCTTCAAATTACATCCCGAAGTAGATCGAGAATTCACAACTGAACTACAACTACTAAAGAGATTTTGCGAGTACACAACCTGCAGGAACGCGATAAGTCTATTTAGATACGATTCCTCCGCGCTGAATAGGGCAAAACACGAATTGACCCTATGTCTCTGTAATAGGCGGGAGTTGGGTTGTCAAATCCGACACTCTTATTTGAGAAAACAATCTTTTCCTATTTATTTGATCAAATCATTAAAATTCTTTCCTACCTTAGCCTTTCATTTCAGTACTTCACACATTTTTGTCTTGGAAAATGGTTTTCCTTCATTTTAATATATTTAATATTTTTGTCAGTCATGAAGGTATTGACCATGGGTGAGCAATCTGGTCAGCAGCCGACCCAGATTTCCTGCCGGGATGCCCAACAGTTTTTTATTGTTATAAAATAAAGCAAAATTGAGAAATAAACATATTTATTAGATCAGGGTTAGTTTTCAAAAATAGAACTAATAAACTACAAGGAGATGTCTGGTTCTGTGCGGCAAAACGAAATGCAGTGTCGAAACTGATTTTTGCTACACGCAAACAATTTTTCAAATTAACTTCAGTGATTCGTGTTCTGACTTGTGATTTGATAGCCTGCATCTGATTAAAAGTCTGTTCACAAGTGTGTTTTCATATAACGCAATCACCGACAGAGCATGTTTACAAAATGCAGGACATTTCTTTTTTTTCCAAATGTGTTTGGTAGAAGTCCTCCAAACCAACCTGAAGGAATTTCTGTTTTAAATGTGCATCACAACACATTTCACAACGTTCCATTTGTAATTTTCCTGGCGATAAATTCGCTTCTACGGAAAATAGTGTTGCAAATGCACCAAAAAGTACAGTAAAAATGTACAAAAGTACATTTTCAAAATCTTGAAATCAATTTTCAAATTCAAGGTTCAAGTTGTATATCAAAGAAACTTATTTATCGGCAGCCGCTTGTGTCCTGTCTGGTCGCAATAACAATGTAGGAAAATAAGTAAAGATTTTTGTCCTTATCTACTATTCTCAAATTCCAAATTCCATTCGAAATGCGAAAATCATGTTAAACCTGTCATTGATAAATTGATATTTCCCATATAGACCGGCATGAACATCATTTAGTCGTAAACCCACTGCTTGTCTTCAAACTCTGGAATACTTCTTGACTTGCTTTTGAAGAACGATTGTTTTTCTTGCTTCAAATCAAATACTCCATCTAGTAAATCAAACACTCCTTTTAATATTTTGGCATTAGCTTAACCATTTTAATATTGCATAAAATATGACCTAATTATACGACTGAATTCAGAGATCTGAGAAATTCTTGAAACTGGAGGTGATTCAATCCCTTCGACTTTCTGAAGTTCACAGTTCTGAAGGCCATTTTCATGACATGCTTAATTTTAAGACTTGATGAATCATGCAATGAAAATTTAACATTCGAAGTATTACTAACTTTTCAAGCTTCCTTTTCAGTCAGTTTCACTAAGCATGCGTGTTTCCCAACCATTTCTGGAGCACCATCTGTTGTTAAGCCTGGTAAGTTACCCAATTGTAACGATAAACGAAAAAGTGTCGAAAAGTGTTTTTATATCTTATACAAATGTGTTTCCTATTTTGCTAAGCCAGATAAACACTTTATGTTCTGCATGATTGTATGTATAGCCTCTCGAATTATCAGTCATGAACAAAGACTATTGTAATATATTAATAAATAATCTTATACAGTTATATGTGAATTGCTGAATATCTGACAACTGCATTTAAGTTTTATTTCTCAAATACTTTCCTCGAATTTTATGAATTATCAGCAGATATGTTTACATTTTCCTAATAGTGCATGAATTTTATAGAACATTTTAATATAAATATATCCGAAAAAGTCACGCAGATCTTACCGGCCGAGTCTTCATCCAAATCTAACTCTCCAAAGAGATGCCAGTAGGGCAACGAAAATATTTCAGTAAAAACATTCCAAAATGGTTGCCGTTCCCTGTGCAAAAGAGCGACTCTCCCAATTCCATAACACAAAATACACACTGCTACAATGAGGAAAAACACGATGAGGTCTCCTATCTGCAAATAAGCAAAAATCATACATCCGCACAATTTAAATATACTGCCTTAGCATGAAAATACTTCTGAGGTTACATAGATAACTGAGAGGGAAAAACTAGATTTCGAAAAATACACATAATCGTTAATGTTACAAAGTTTGGGCAAATTGCCCGTCTTTCGATTTGAGCCGGACAGCAAAGAACAAAATTAATAACCTCACGCTAGAACATTAAAACTTGTAATATTTTTTCACATTAACGATTCAAAATGAAGTACTTTAAAATGTTATTCAGTTTTCTTTTACATTGCGACAAAATTTAAGTTTCGAAGCTCCTCACTGGAAAACCGCAGATCCAAAACTAAAATATTTTTTATACTTAGAAATATCAAATTAGTTCATTTCTTTTAACTCGTATTATTCAACGGACAAAATATACATACCATTCGCTTAAGAACTATGAGTTTAGGTCCAATGTGTGACATAGTCATGTAAAATTCGTATAATCTGATGTAACTAAGAATGCAACTAAATGTGTAGATGAGATGAATATCGTCTAGTTTTATCCAGTTTCCAATGAAGACAAACTGTGAAGTGAGCCGTATAGAAACTCCAAGGAAAAAGAATAAAACCCACACAACGTCTAACTTGTTCCAAAAGTAACCGTGCAGCCATTCCATCAACTTGTTGTCTTTCGGGTCGCTTGGCTGTTGAATGATCTGAAAAAGTTTACTACAGTTATTATTATTACTTTAAAATATATTTCAGCATAACAAATCATATTATTTAAGAAAATAGTTTTCCAACATTTTTTGGCTCACATGTCTCTTTCAAAGCTTTCTTCTTGGTTTAGCACACATTTCGAATAAACAATCTCTATTATCAAAATTTCTGAGTGTAGTTGTGAGTAAAATTTTTAAAATTTTAAATGTTAGAATGAAAATAAAGGAAATAACTACAAATTAAAATTTTGAAGCTGTGTATTATTACGTTTTTAGAGATATTATGTCATTCTGGTTATACGTGAAAAATGTGCAATGCCCTCGCCGAGACTCAAACCCTGGCCTTCTCGAATGCACGTCGAGTGTGCTTCCAATTACATCACAAAAGCATTCAGAAAAGCGGAAGAAACTGGCCTTCTCGAATGCACGTCGAGTGTGCTTCCAATTACATCACAAAAGCATTCAGAAAAGCGGAAGAACCCTGGCCTTCTCGAATGCACGTCGAGTGTGCTTCCAATTACATCACAAAAGCATTCAGAAAAGCGGAAGAAACCTGGCCTTCTCGAATGCACGTCGAGTGTGCTTCCAATTACATCACAAAAGCATTCAGAAAAGCGGAAGAAACTACCTTAGAAATTTAAGCAACTAATTTTGCTTTTATGTGACTTATATTATAATAGCAATATTTATGAAAAAGGGACGATGCTCTCTAAACGCTGAAAGTGGCTACAAAAATAAAGCTAGCCCGTTAGAAAACGTAGAAAGTGCGCCGCTGAGCATTAAAATTACAACTTTACGAAGGAAGGCAGTTGGCAGTGTCATATTTATTTTATATCATAACTGAAAGAAAGAAATGTTTAAAATTTCAGGTGATTTTGAGACATAGAACGTTCAGAAATCAGAACTCCGAGCATCAGCTTCTACCAACAGTTCTAGCGTGCAAATGGAATAGCCTTTGAATAATAGCTAGACGTGTTACCAGTCGATGCGGCTACATTTCTGAGCCAGAGTTTATCATACTGTCTGACTAGTAGCGTCGTTCCTGCCAAACTGTTGTTGAGAGCATGCTACGAAGAAGCAGCATCTCTAAATATCAGTGTGAACAATTCCAACACTTTTTTAAGAGATACTATATTTCGATTCATTACGGTACGCTGTAAATCAATGTTTTTGTGTTGAATTTGTTGCAAATTATGAGAGATTATTTGAGGAAACTTACCTTGTTGAAACTCTCGGCGCTGAAACTCTTGCCAAACGATTAACACCATGTGATACGCGCATACGCGTAAGCTAAAAACAGAACTTGGACAAAACTAGTAATGAAGCGTAAATAAAACATGTGACATAAACTTCTCTTCTATATTGTGTATATCTTCTGCTAGTAAAGTGTTGTGCATTAAAATACAATATTATTTAGATGTACCGTTTTGTGATTAGTCAAATATCTTCAATTAATCAAAAAATTCCCGATTTCTCTTTGAAGTATATGAAGAAAGAAGAGCTTCTGAAAAGGTAAGACTTTTTACCTTTATTTTTTGAACGTTTAGTCATGATGTTTTCATCAATTTGGCGTCTCTGCCGAGATGACAGTGAATTAATTGAAGATAATATTGTTGGTTTTATGTATTTTGAATCTGAAAGGCACTCTTATTGAATTCTTAAGATTTTATATGTTTTAATTCAGTAATATGTAGCTAGAATGTATTACTAAATAAAGGAAACGAGATGTTTGAGAATGCGCGGTTTCTAGTACCTAATGAAATATCATATACATGGTAGCGTCAACTAGTCAGCTGACTATTAGCTACTTTTGGCGACTTTATGATGAGCAGTAAACGCGACATATACGATGAGTAGTAAAAGGGTCCTTTTGATGTTGTCGATAATTTTCAAAATCTCGCCAAGGCTGCACCGCATACTAAGATTTTAGCTAATGAAATATCATATACATGGTGGCGTCAACTAGTCAGCTGAGTATTAGCAAATTTTCGCCAGTGAAAACACAGGAGCACTTACAATATTAGGCAAATAATTAGAAGAATAAAATTAAAGAGAAGGGCGCTAAAGTATTGCTGTTTAAAACTGCTGTTCATTAATTTATCATTGCTTTATCCAAAAAGGACACTGTCGATTTGATTCACCACTGGCCAAGCGCGTGAAACAACGAAACACTAGTAGTTCATCCCAAATTCCATCCCATTAGTTGAGCGGGTTAGCTGTATATGGTTTACATATATACAAGATATATATAAGTAAATGTTCCTTAGAAAACCCTTCACAAATGCATTTTCTTATTAGACAGATAATCCAAGCCTATTTTCTTACAATCGACAAATACAGTTCAATGCTTAATAATAAAAAACACTCAGTTTCTATAAATAGCGCAAACGTGCTTCTCTTATCCATTCTATGCAAAAGAGAGAAGGAACGTATTATCACTAAGTTTCCGTCATTTCTGTTTCAATAAATAATACTTACTTTGGCTAATAATAAAAAAATCTGATGTGTACACCACATGACTTTCTTGTACGGAATATTAAATTATACGCTTTTTTCTTGCATTTTATTTACACTTATTAGATTGAATTAAACCTACTTCGCCGACAGCGCATAAACCACAATAGAATAAATGCATTCTTTAAAATTCACTTTGTTTACCATAGCGACACTCTGGCGCTAGGTTTACTTAACAGTATTATATTTCATTCATATTATAACTCTGAATGCACAAAATTTATATCATTTAAAGAATTATCTAATCGTTGCCACATGTTCTATTCAAATACTATAATAAAGCTAGAACTATGTATAAAAGAAATTAAGCAAACAAAACAAAAAAGAAACAGTTTTTCATAGACGATTGAGTATTTCTCATTCAATTAATTCAGTTCTCACTTCGCGACAAGGCAAAAATACATAAAAACTCAAAATATCTGTATTAAAAATTACGAAGTAAATCTTAAATACTTATTTCCTCGAAAAAATTCAAGAAAGGATTAAGCATGATTTAATTGGCAATAATAAATGAAAGCGTTATCTTTGTTGTTGCGAAGCTAAGTTTCTCTAGATTGCCAACAAATCCACTAGTCTCCTGTTTCAAATGTAAACATCAATGGCCGCCATCAAATTAGGCTTAGCGGCACTTAAACAATTTTAAAATTGTTGATAATTCTAAAAATATATATACAGATTTACTAAAGGCATAAAACCCTTAACCGGAAGATAAAAACAACATAATTAAATCATTTTTAAAGCAAAAAAATGTACAATTTACAAACATATAAGAGTAAAGAAACTGAGATTACTGAGCTGGGTAACAGAGTGGATATATTATAAATATATTTATATACGTTTGGCGCGGCCGATTGAAACCAAAAGACGAGGTGCACATCTACATGTTATAGTAGTCTTATATACAAAATTTCAACGTTCTGAGGCTACTCGTTTTTGAGTTATGCGAGATATGTTCGTACGCACGTACATACGTTCGTACAGACGCCACGAAAAATTCTTTTCAGAATTCATTTTAAAGCAGTTTTTTAGTTTTTTTGGAGGAAATCAGTCTTTTATTCTGTCCTTACGTACAGATATCACTCAAAAACATCGTTAAATTGAATTCGAAAGCGGTCAAAGTGGATATTTTCGTTAAAATATGCTGTCTGAAGATTTTCGCGATTACAATACTTCCTTTTTACTTCGTACAAGGAAGTAAAAAGATCAGATATGGAACTATAGTTTCGGTTAATAAGGATATTTGGAATTCTGCTGTTCTAATCAACTTCTCTTTTTTAAAAGTATTACTTTCTAATAAGGTACGCATTCATGCAATGAGTAGAAAATTAATTACGTTAAATTATCATATCATAAATTATATTAAAAGTTTTCGATTTAATGTAATGTTTTTGGGGGAAAAACTTAATTTCACAATCAAGAAGTAATCTGCTCACCAGCGGCCGAGCAGTAAAGTCGCTGAACACTGGTAGTTCGGTCCGAGGTTCGAATCCCGCGAACGGGCTGGCTGCATGGGCGTTTTCGTGGTTTTCCCCATGTGTAACGTGTATACGAGCCAGTTTCCCTTAGAAAGTCCTCCACGAAGGCATCCCTCCCCTTAGGCAGATAGCCCTCGAGGCTTTGCCATAATCACACACACAAGAAGTAATCTAGAATCTTCAATGATATATCTTGATTAACTTACTAATTGAATAGAATGTAACAAAAAAAATTTTTAAAGAAGTATTTACATAATTCATGGGATACAGTTAATCGGATGTCTTTATTTTCTTTGCGAAACTGGAGCACTTAAATCCAATCAGGAGATAGGTACGTGGAAAAGAAAGATAAGAGATACTGAATTCTATCCCTCTAGCTGGTAATATAAAGCACAAGCTGATGGCCAGGGCCTGGTATAAATAGACTAGATCCCTGGTACAATGTCATTTTAGAACCCTAAAATCTCTTTGCGTTGTTTTTGCGAAAGAAAGTTAGGATTGTAAGGAATTACAGTAGAATGAGTTTGGGACCTTTAAAATATGATGCCCAGGCTTGGATTTTGTGAGCGTAGACGATAATCAAGGGCTGCATGGTAGCCTTCATTTGTTCCGCACAAATAAAATAATCTATTCCACTACAGTTCAATAAATAAATAAACGAGTTCAAATGACAAAAAAGTCTATTGGAATTTTATTGTACTAAAAAATCACTTTCATGTGAATTTGTTTTGGGAAAGCACGCTCGAACTGTAAAATAACTTGAAGTGTTAATGAAAAATTTCGTAATAATTTATCAATCGTAAGTAAGTAGTCTTACATCATGCAGCAGCATTGTTATAGCTGCTGCATGATTTAGTAGAAAATTTTATTTAATGCTTTTGGATCTGTGATATGTAATTTTGAGGAAGAATGTTGTCAATTATTGATATTATAATACATTATGTCAATAAATGATGAGGGTGAAATGGAGAAAAAATTTAACTCCTTTTAAAGAGTTAACTTTTTTCTCCATTTCACCATAGTAATCTTACCTCTTTTGCAATGTCAAGTATCAAACTAAATGCCCAAACATGAAGGATGATTTCAGGCCAGTTAATGTGTTCTTGGAAGTCAAAAAGTATCACATACGAGAATAGAAAAAGGTAACACAGATAGGAATACTTGAAAAGAAAGAAAAGTAATTATATAAACGAAAATATATTTTCATTATACTCAAGTGACTGATTTAATAAAATAATACTTACAAAAAGCACCATCATTTTTATAGCAGGACAAGAGTAGAAATAGTATATTTTTTTAAATATATTTGGCTCCCTTTCCGCATCGGGATCATTCCTGTACCTCAAATAGCCAATTCCGATGAGTAAAGGATTGAATATTGTCAAACTGAGCTATAAAATTTAAAAAAAGTATACATGTAATGTACGTATATTTCATTAACTAACATTTCAGCTGGCATTTAAATTTTCTCCAATGTCTCAGTGGTATTCCAGGTAACATCGAATAAGTCATTAAAAATATCAGACTAATAAATGCAGTCTTGCATAGTTTGAAATATTATTTGCAATATATTTCAGTAATTGATGTTGAACGGATTTTTACTTTTAAAACTCTGACGAGTGCCTTATATATATATATTTTTTTTTTGTTCTACTTAGGATAAACGGACTAAATGTCTAATTACAATTACGTCAAAGCCCCTTTGTTAATAAATATGAGGATAAAAGTGAAGGAAATTTGAAAATAGAAAATTTGTTTATCTGATGAAGGTCCTGATACAAATGTGAAAGAAAGCAAAGAAAAAAATTTTAGTAAAATCACCTGAGGAATAGAAAACATCCCTCCACTTAAAAAAAAATTTACGTACCAATAATAAAAAAAGCCTCGTAAAATTTCACAAGCATTTGTGCAAACAGTATTAAAACCGAGCATAAATAAATTTTGATGACGTATTTCTTCTCTCTCGCTCACTTCGATGGTCCCAGACTAATTACATATTACATACATTGTCGTTCATGTAAATTAACCGCGAAATGATATAGAACATGCAAAACGTTCCCTGTATCACGGTACAAACACATATCAACAAATTCCAAACAATAATAATAAAACAAAACATTTTAACGCCTAGAATAATATTTATGATTCGAACGGACCGGCAGCGTCATTATACTGCAATAATAAATGTACTTTCACCATACGCTTCCAAATACAAACTTACAGATCACAGGCCACTACTATGTTTTCTTCCAAGATTCTGATAAATGCAAAGAAAGATAGAATTCAATTTCCTAATTCAACCTGACATTCGATGCATCAAATTATAGGCTATAAATGATGCATGATTATAAAATGATTCATATAACTTTCCAATGAATTTAAATATAATAAATAATTTTAATAGAGATTTTGAGAGTTATCTAATAATATAAACGTCTATATCAGTCAGTTTTGTTAATTATAAATAATGCTGAATGGTGTATTTTGCAATAAAACATGAAATATAACATACTCGAAATGAAAAGAAACAAAAATATTGGAGCTTCTTAAACACTCTAAAATGTAAATAAATCCATAAAGGTTACTAAAAATTAAATGAAAATAAATCTTCTTTATACTTATATTTTTAGACAAAAGCCCACTTACTTTGTTTAAGTAATTAACCATAATTCCTTTTCTATTATGTATAATAGTTTGTTTCACAATTCATCAACATATAAAAGGTTTTATTTATTTCAAACAGCTATTTTGTGTGAGAGATTTTATTTAAGTGAATTTTTAATCCGGCTATTAAAAACATAATGTACAAACGAAAAAAAATTAATAAACTTAATAAAAAAGTTTTCAAATAATGATTTTTTAAAATTCGTTTAGAGTTTAAATACTGTTATATGACTTCGACTAATATTATTTACTAGATAAGCAATACCGATCAAATAAAACTGTTTATCAAGTGGGTCATGCTTAAAACTTACTGAAAACCCCCTTATTTTGCACCTTTTAAGTTACAACTCTCAATAAAGTCAGGACGTTTAGTTTAAAACAATTGAACTAAAATCAAATATTTTCATAAGATTTTTCAAACAAATAACCTATATTTGTCATTTTTATGATTTTTAAGAAAAAAGTATTAGGAATTACAATTCAAAAATTAATAAAACGAAAAAAAATCATATATACTTTCAACACAGTGCTGCTTTCTAACTTTCCGAACCACAACTGTTCAGTTAGTTTAATACACGTTTCTGTTGACATAAGAGCCTAAAATGATAATTAAAAATACCATGATTGCAAGCAAAAAGAAATAAAATCTCAAAGAATTATATTTAGCATAATATATGCACTACATTAACACATATAACATTTTTAGTATGCTCCAAAGAAGTAAAATACCTGAAATATGAAATAAAATCAATATCTAAATGCATAAACTTTAGCAATCTAATTCATTGCGTATTATGTTGAATTAAATTGCCTTATATATTTTATTTTAACATCTCTAATAATTTTGCCTATAATTAGTCCTATCTTTAAAGGAAATGAGCAGTTTAAATTCTTACCCTATCATACGCTAATATTGCTATATCCAGCAAAGTCATATTGCCCCAATATGGATCTCTGAAATTTAAAATTTCAGAAGTTTTTTTCCAGTCCATTTTGTCACATTCTTCCAGAACACCAATAGCAATTTTTTCAAACTCCTGTAAAAAGATGAAAAATAAGTATTAAATAAGCAAATCAATTTCTTTTTCATTAATTTTTTTCACATAGTTCCGTCGATTTTTCAGCAATTATAATTTGCACGTAGCCTAATAACTACTTAAAATTTAATCTCTGGATTCGTGAATGTAGTCAGGCGACATATCACTACATCTTACCTCCTAATTAAAGTAACTTCAGTACAGAAAAAGGTTTAAAACAAACCTTTTTATTAGTTCGACAGCCTAACAATATACACAACTTGTGTAATAACAGAAATAGTCTCCGTAATTTGGGAAACAACAGAAACAAACTTAAATTTAAGTATTAAAATATGATATTTAGAAGACATAGAAAACTACAAGTTTTAGAGTCAGACCTTCAAATTACGCGAGTTGTTAAGGCTAGCAAGGATACAGCCGATTCAAGCAATTTAGACCCTAAGGCGAAATGGTATCGAGATGATTAGCGATAGCTGGCCAAGCTTAAACTCAAGAACTCTGTACTTAAATGCATTAACTAACTTGCAGCCTGGTGGGAGCTGACGGGAGTGGACGTAATATTAAAAGCAAAAGGGATGAGCTAACTTGGCTAATAAATATAAAAGCCTACAAATTTAATTGCTTTATAGGCGTAAAAAATGCTTTACCTGTTTCTTATCAACGTAAATAGATTTCTCCTCATTTTCATATGACATATTCAGCCGCCAATACAAAGCTGTCGCAACAATAGACATTTGAAGAGGTTTTTGCGTCTCACTCCAAAAAAACAATGCCATTTCTGTCCTAGGTAATAAAGTTATAATCTGTTTTGTAAATCAGGTATTATCAAAAAGCTATAGAAATATGAAATAAGCAAAAGCAAACTTAATGCGCTGTGTTAATGTAAATGGAATGTGTAACAAATGCAGCATAACCAAATAGTGGATAAACAGAATAAATTCAAAAGCATCACCTTAAAACGATTATAGCCCAAATGAAGAGCTCTCTGAAGGGTTGCTCAAAATGTTCTCCAGATATTCCTGTGGATTCGATTCCTCTTTTACATGTAATATCTTGCTGATAGATATCATGTCTGTGCTTACGCATGAGAAAACCCAAGAAATTGGAAATATCTCGCAGATTGAAATGACGGTCTTTATGAGTTAAATCCTTTAAAACTGCAAGAGCGGCCTCATTTTCGCATAACTGTAAAAGAAAATTTATTTATATTTGAAATATCAAATTAAGCACATTATCAGTTGTACGATAAAATATATCAGTGTAGCAGTAATCAAAGTATTTCTGATTCTTTATGCGAACAAGACTTCATACGTTTTCCAATATAAATAACTAAGTTTATCAACGAATTCTTCAAACCTACACCAGAAAACTAACTATGGCTAAACAGATAATAAAACAGCAAATTAAAGCTTAAGTGGATTAATTTTAAGATAATAGGCTACTGCACTGACTCTCTTCTCTCGTTTTTTCATAAATTCAAATTCTCCTTTATGTACTGAGTACCGAGAAGTATCTCAGTAGATATTATACACTTACCAACATCCACGCATTCTTTGGAATTCCCAAAGGGCCCAAAGCTACGACTGTCGGCTCTTCTACCAACCTTGCTATTAGGGCGTAGATATAAACCGTTGTATACTGATACAGTGGCTCTTGCAAGTTCTCAAATGCGGTGAAGAAAAGGGATACATGGTATCTGTTACCGATTTAAGCCAAGGTAGAGCTTTCTGGTAACAATCTCATCACTGTTCTGCTCACATGCTGTATTTTTTAATGATAGAAAAATATATGATCCATTATAGTGTTGTACATTAACTGTTAAATTTGCTTTGTAAAGCAAAAGTAATCAAAAATATGACCTTACTATTTATTAGTATCTCGTATTATTGGAAATGCTTCTTTTATTTCTTATATAGCACGACAGTATTAAATATAAGGTAACGGTTCGCAGATTAATTTTAATTGAAATTTTTCCAAAATGTTCCCTTTGTTCCAAAATGGCTGGAATCCATTACCCTGAAGAAAGTTTCTAATATTCTTTGTATTCTCACAACATATACTCAAAACATTAAATTGCAACTCGGGATCTAAAATAATGATCCTGAGCTGTAATGCCACTCAACTAAGAAATAATAACATGCTATAAAATTATTCTTATTATCTTCAAAACATTGTGTCATATTTTGCCCAGCTGTGCTCACAGATAAAACTGAAAAGAGACAATAAAAGTATGGGAGACACCAGCGATGTACTATGGTTCAATGGATAATGCCTTCACACTGAAACGAAAATGTGATTAAACTAGTCTTTTCCCATAAAAGAACATAACTTTCCTCTGAACGGTATGCTTTAGAAAGGAGTAATGCTTCTTCACAGCTGCATGGACACATCTCCAACGAAATTCGAGTCGAAATTAAAAAGCATTGCGAAAAATCAGATGACCGCAAACAAGACATATTCTGTCATATTTTACGTAATTTTTGCACATACTTACACATTCATTGTACAGAGTTCGCAGTAGTCCAACAGTCAAATAATCTCTCATCACTATTCCACGTTTTAAAAGCAGTTTCACAAAAGCTGGTTTATTGGTGATCAGTGCTGAAGTCATTGCTTCTTCAATGATATCTAACGGCCACGAACCACAATCTGGAAATAATTTCTTTGCTACGTCCGGTCGATTCCAACTTACCGCTAGCAGAAGTTGATCACGAAGCGAAGCCCCTCTTTTATCTAAAATGTGATAAAAATACTTAGCATCAAAAAACTAGAAATTATAAGTTTTATAAAATTTTAGGTGTGTAATGCACTCACGTTTTATCACAGTTGAAAGAATATGTAAATCTAAGCTCTCGTTTCCGTGTATTTCAAAAATGCTAATCTGAAAATTAAAAATGATATGTATATATATAGCAAATAACAAATTAGAAAAGGAAACTTAAAAATTGAATAATTAAATTAAGTGAAAAGTAATTTTTTTCTAACAAAATGAAATATATACATTTTCTGTTTGTAACAAAAAACTTTTTCATGTAAATAATCATATTTGAAAAGAAGCGGTTGACTTAATACAAGTTGTTTATTTTGGGATAACTCAAATGATGTACATAATTATTTTTGAAATGCATTTTTAGAATTTCGTAGAAAATATCATTATTTGCTATTGTGTGAGTAGATCTGTCAAAAGATTATTTATAAAATTTAAGGTTTAATCGAAATTCAAAAATCTCTGCATATTCATGGAGCTTTGAAGTTCAGTTTAATCATTATGTTAAAATGTATAGGATTTCAAGTTTGGATCTTCATGTTTCAAAAACCGTTATGAATTTATAAGAACATTTTTGCGGCACTTAATTACAAACATAATAGCACAACACTTTGAAATCACTTGTAGGGTCATTAGGTGTTTTTTTTTTTTTTTTTTTTTTTTTAAAGCAAGAGACGTGAAAAATGTGCATTTCCCTCACCTTGACTCGAAAGCTGGACCTCTCGAATACGCGTCGAGTATGCTTCCAATTACACCACGAAGGCATGCGGAAAGGATGGAGAAAATACCTTATATACTCCCCCTTTTAAAGGACGACTGGGAATTAGGGTACTCACTCGCTACATCCTCGTAGCGACGAATTATCGTCCAAGACCTTTTAGTTCGGGGGTCACTGAAATGCAAAAGAAGCAAGCAAGAGAAGAAAAGCAAGAAACGTGGAAAATGTGCAGTGTGCTCCCTGGACATCTCGAATACGCGTCGAGTATGCTTTCAATTACATCATTAAGGCATCCGAAAAGGAGGGAGGAAAAAAACCTCATACAGTTATAAAATAAATTATGAAATGAAAATTCATAACGGTTAGTGTTTGAACCAATGGCTATCCATATATGATATTACCAGAATAGCCTGATAGAGCGGAAGAACTTGCGCGATATTTATTCGAAATTTACAATATATATTTAAAACATTTTCTCCATATGCTGTTCCTAACATATCTTCCCAGTTAAAAAAGTAAACCCACTAAATCCAATTAAAAAAGAATTTCCGGCTGCACATTAAAATTCACAGCAGTTATTTTCTATTGCTTATATATTGCCGGACTATCACTACAAGAAACACAGCAGTTAAAAAAAAGTCATGATATTAAAATATCTTCATTTGAAAAATTAACAGCGTTTTGCGTGATAGATTTCCATACTGTGTATTGTATTACATTTTAAATCTTTTCCAGGATATTTCCCTCTTCGCGTTTATTTCCGCCGCAAATTTATTCACGATATGTTCTTACGACATCCAACTGATATCCGCATACAGACTTATTTCATTCAACTATTATCATTGATTTTTACTTGCAAATGTATTTCCAACAACAAGCGTTAATGCTATGTGGTAAACGCCAAAATTCATGCCATAAACTTGAGTTTAAAAAAAATAATAATAATAATGGCGCTGCATTACATTCCATGCTTCGAATTATATTTAACGAAAGGAAGCTTGATTTAAATAAAGCACATCTTCTTCTTTCCATAGCGTTTAGCAGTCACCATCAAGATTCAATGTATCCTAAATCACACGAAATCGTACTTTGCGAGTACTATTGTTGATTCCCCGATGCGATAAGCATATCGAGGTGTTTATCGAAGAAACTTAATAATGATAGCATTAATTAGCAACTTTTTACTATTCAATGGCTTATGAGCCGCTGATGCCCCTGGGACATCAAAGAGCCTCATAAATCAAAAATGCACGAGGGTCAAGTGCAGCAATCGAGGATACCATGAATGCTGCTAATGAGGGGATACTATCTTCCATAAATGTGCCAATCCCTATAAGATTTCGTTCCTATAAACATGGTGTCACATTCTCTGATATTTTCACTTAACGATGTTCTGTTATGGAGCACGCTTTCCGGCCACTTGCTTAACACGACTCTTCAAAAAAGAGTGGACTGGTTGATGATGACACTTGCCGTCAGGCTGTAGTGCATAATGTGCCACGGCAAGTGTAATATCTCCTTTGACAACGCGCGGCGATTATTCTTTATCCTAAGTGTTAACAGTTACGTGCGACGAAAAATTTTCTGCGTTTGCCCAATGCCCAAATTATGGATCATTAGCAACTTTTCTTGACGCTTACGTGCGAATTCCTCCTGATTATGGAAGTCATCTAGTTGCAGCTGATTTCATCTTCAGTTGTAGTTGTAATGCAGTTTCATACTACAGCTGAAGGATCAGCATTAATTGTTAAGCGATTTCATCCTACAGCTTGAGATCTTGCAAGATCCCAAATACCAAAAACTTTGGCAAGCTCGTGGCTCTTGCATCTTCCCAAGCGTTGCCAATACCGTTCATTATTATGCTGTTGAAGTTTCTACTTGATTTGCTAGATGGCTTACACAAGACTCTACCAACAATTGCTTGCCTGCTCTCGATCGGTTAGACTCCTAGTTTCCTACAAAACGTCGCACGAGATTTATTAGCGTTGTCATAGTCATTGTACCTCAGCATGTTTTTCATGCGTTTTTGCGTACGAAACTGTCGTAAAACTAAAACAGATGGTTCGCCGTTCAGGTAAAACAATTTCAACAGAAATGCCTTATCAACTAAATTCAGTCATAGTAATTCGTTATTAAAATCCGTGAACGAAAATCAGTAGAAATAAAATTGCATTTCTGAGAGTGAACGGCTTCTTTTGTAGGTAATCTCATTCACACGTGTTATGCTTCTTACAGTGTAACGCCAAATATCGGTGAAATTTTGAATTTTTTCCCGCTCTCCTGTTGCTTTTGCCGAAAAGAAATCTGTAAACAACACATGAACATTTCTCTCGAATTTCGAAGTTGTTTTTGGTTCACCAAGTTTTAAGAGATTAATTTTAATTCAGCATAATAAGAAATTATTCTCGTTATTTGTTATAAAAAACAAAATAGTTAGATTAATATTTTGATAAATTAAAACGTACCAGGTGTTTTTTCTTGCAACATTTGTAAATGTCTTTTATTCTAGTCTCAATCACTGCTGCACCGTTTTTTGTGTGTTTCTTAAAGTACGCATTCAGCATATTTCTAATTAAATCTTTGTCCTCTTCCATTGCCATTCTTTCACATCTAGTTATTGCAATAAAATAGAAATAAAATTGATGTTAATAAATTAATAATAAAAAGTAAAAGCTTAAAGTTATAAAAGTTTCGTTACTTCGAACCAGATGCACTGCAACACGAAATTGCCACTGCTATAATATCAGCTATATCTCCCGATCCACAACATAAAAGTACAGGAATATCTTTCTGAAGGCAAAGCAATATTTCATCTATGGAATCTATGTCCCCTCCAAGAACCAACAGTATTGATGGAATAGCTAAACCTAAGAGATAAAACATCATAGATAAAATTGCAATTTTATTCAAATTGAATATCTTTATGACAAGCGAACTTTAACCTGAATTTACGATTTTACATTAAATTACTTACATTAAAATTTGAATATTTATCTACTCTTCTGAGATAAAGTTCGATTAAAATCGATGAGTCAGTATGTTTTAAATAATAAATGGAACATACCAGATAGCTGTTACTTTTTTACCTTCTTGCAGAATAATACCCGAAATACTTAATTATTTTAGGAAGTTTCGCAATTTGAATACATGCGTACATACATACCTTTACAACATAAATTCCTCATAAGGGAGCTTACAGAAGGTGAAACGTGAATTAGGCAGAGCTGGGTATTTCTAATAATAATTAACCGACTTCCATGCATTTTAATCATTATGTACTAAAACGAAATGCGCATTTCATTTGGAAATTAATTTGCCGAATTCCATATCCGCGTTCTTCTGCATGCATTGTCCTTGAAAGTTAAGGAAATGCCAAAATGAAATAATTATCAAAACGTAATTGACGGAACAACCCCGAAATTTCACAAACATGTGCTTGTATTTAAACATGTGCTACATGTAAAACAATAAATAAGCTATATAGAATTACCATAGTTCAGAAAAGAAGGTATAAGGTGAAAGAACTCATAAGATGCAATATATATCAATATTCATAACATGGACTTACAAACAGAATGTTTGGTGCATTGACATTCACAGGAGAATGCTGACATTCTCCTGTTTAGGTCTTTCACGGTATCGTGTGTAATACATACTGAGCAAATTTGAACCAACGAAGTCAAACCCGCATATTACTCTCCTAGAAGTGAAATGTAAAACTTTTCCCCTGCAGTCAAATCTGAGTAAACCCGAAAATTTCCAATATAACATAAGCAATTGTGTGAGTCAGTTATTCTTGAGATGCCACTAGTTACAGAAATAATTTGTTATGGCCCAAAATATCTAGTCTTCTTCCATTGTTGCCCAGGGATACTAAAAGGTCGAACACCTCAGATAAACAGACATTCTCGTTTTAACAGGTTTTGCAGATACTGCATTATTTCACGAAACAAAGGTTTACGTTAGACCTGCATATTACCAAATATATTTGATCATCACCCATGGCATATCTTAGAAATTCTCGTAGTTTTAATTATTACCTTCTTCCTCTTTTGAGGATGAAATCTTATGCATAAGCTCCACCCGAAATACTTCCGTTCCTTTGCAAATTCTCTTTGTGCCGTCATCCACAAATAAGAAATGTGTGTGTCCAGGATTAAGATAGGCTCGTCCACTTTCTAATTTATGATGAGGCTTAACTTTGTATCTCGAATAATGCATTTCCTGGAAAGTAAACAGAAACGAACATATTTCATATCTTATTATATTTACTATAACTTAACAATTATAATGAATACGAATTGGAAAGTAGAACTAGCTTTATAGGAATATTTTCATAAACCTTGGGATCGGTATTTATAAGAAGATCATTATTTTCCACACATCCCCATTTAGCTACTCCAATGCAATTTATACCATGTATCATTCTTTCTTTCATAGACACCAGATACTGCCTTTTCCTTACAGCATCGCCCACCACTTTGACTAGCCCGAAATTGAGTCCTCCTGTGAAAAGCCAGGCATTAGCAGTCAGTAGCGCCTGAAAAGATAAAAAAAGCAATTTTATCATGTGACCAGATAAACCTTCATCATTTTCTTTTCTGTTATAAGCAATTTAGCATGCTATAGATTTTTTCAAATAGTAAGCCAACTGATTCTGCACCGAATCACATACACTGGTGTGCAAAAATTAAGGACGAAGTCGAAAAATTAGCATATCAGCTGAACGAAGAGGCAGAGCGCACAGAAAGACCAATCAGGAGATTAAGTAAGGTGATGTACGGTAGCACATGCGCAGATATGCAGGTAGACGTAATGGGGGAGTGTCTGAGTAGTATAAAGCATGTTGTCGGTGTAAGATCAGTATTTCTGGCAAAGAGATTGCACGCCGTATAGCAGTTAAAATCACACCGAGTTGCTGCCTCAGCGAGAAATGGCGAATAAATCAATCTGTTAGACGACATCTGGATGCTTTTACCCGAGGTCGAATCATTGGGAAGTTGGAGGAAGGCCGCAGTGTGACAAGTGTGGCTGCAGAGATTCGGAATTGCTCACAGCATCGTTTCACGACTTTGGAGACAATTTCAAACTACAGGAACAGCTATCCGGGGTTTAGTAGTGGTCGTCCACGAGGAACCACACCCGCAGATGACCGGCATATTGCCTTACAGGCCAGAAGAAACAGGCGGCAGGACAGCGGGAGAATTCGCTAGCCACACACACAGGCGACTGGACGACCGATATCGCGTTTTACCGTGGCCAGAAGACTGCACGGTGGTGGTCTGTTTGCACGACGCCCTGGACAGTGTGTACCTCTACGCCTGCCCATCGGAGAAGGCGTTCTCTGTGGTGCCGGGAACACCGGAATTGAGAGACAATGAATGGGGACGAGTACTCTTACAGATGAGAGCAATTCAGTCGAGTAGCGATTCTCACCGCATACTTATCTGGAGAGAGCGGGGAAGCCGCAATCATCCCTCGAACATCATTGAAAGGGACAGGTATGGAGGTGGCGGTGTTCTCCGTTTGGGGAGGCATCATGCTTGGTAGTCGTATAGACCTTCGCATCTTCGACGCAGGTTCAGTCAACGGGACCCGTTATTGTAACGATATTCTTCTTCCATATGTGCGTCTTTTTAGAGGCGCTATGGGTCCGCAGTTCCTTTTCATGGACGACAATGCACCATGTCATCGCACAGTAGCTGCCAAACAGCTCTTAGAGAGTGAGGATATTGAACGTATGGATTGGCCGGCACGATCTCCGGATCTCAATCCCATCGAGCATGTATGGGATTTTCTAGGCAGACGCTTGGCAGCTCGTATCTTACCACCAGTAACGATTCCGGAGCTTCGATTGGCGCTGCAAGACGAATGGGCAGCAATGCCTCAACAACTCATTGACACCCTCATTCTCAGCATGGGCAGACGCTGTGAAACCTGCCTAGCAGTCAGGGGAGATCATATCCCCTATTAAAGACCGGATGTTTCTTGCTGGACACCCATCACAGGGATGTTTCGGCCTTCAGTCGCATTGCGCTCCATGCTACTTTTTCAATAAAGCTTCTTTTTATCCCTCTGATTTCTCTTTTAGTAAGTGTTGCTTACATTACTCATGTCCTTACGTATTGGGGATCTTACGGTATTAAATGTGTTGATTTGGAAAGCTTTTGTACAAAGTTATATTGAAAAAACCGTCTCGTCCTTAATTTTTGCACACCAGTGTATTATACGGCCTTTATTATTTACAGTAATGCAGCAAATGCTCAAAATATCATTTTAGCCTGTTATGAAATAAGTTTATTTTAAATTGTGTCAATTAGTTACATTATAAAAATGATGATTTAAATTATTAAAAATTGCACATATTCTTTTCAAATCACTGAGTTAAGCCAATACATCTATAATCTGAGAGCGTCGAATGGCAATCCTACAAATTGAATTATCCTCGCGGGAGATAAAGATCTTAATTCTCATACATCAGGTCACCTAGATTATGAATGATATGATACCATAAAGTAACGCAACGTATAAAGATACAGGAAATTTGGAACGTTCTCCACTGAATTTGTTTCTCACATTAAAATAGCATTATTTCTATGTATTACACCCATATACATCTATGCATGCATTTTACCTGCAATGTATATATATATATATACACATGTATATATATACACATATATACATTATTAAATTATGCAAAAGATAAAGATCTTAATTCTCGTACACCAGGTCACCTAGATGATGAATGATATGATACCATAAAGTAACGTAATGTAATATAAAGATACAGGAAAGTTTTACTTAAAAATAATATAAAACACTCATACATTTGATAATGTTTGTTCTCCTTTGGAATGGAAAACATAATTTTTAAAACTTATAATTTTACAAAATGTAGTTTACAAAACTTATAATTTTACAAAAGTCCATTTATAAAAGTGAGTCTATTTATATACATTATATTACCCTATATGAATGAAATAAAAATTCCATTTATATAGGGTAATCAAAATGTCACGCACATCAAACTTCTCGACAGTGTGGAAACTCCAAAATAAATATTAATTGCGAATTCTTATTGTGGATGACGATGCCCATCTGATCTCTCCATCCCAGCTCTGATCAAGAAGCTTGCGATTTATGGAAACCTAATTTTCGTACTTCTTTTGCTCTATCAGCGAACTCTTGAGAGGATTCGCGGTTCGATAAATTTTTAGTACCCTCACCCTTTAAAGAAGTCCCATTTATAAATGCCTGTGTCGAATGTCGAATCCAATGGCGTGCGTTTCAGCTACCCAGCGCTAACGACCATACAGTCTATGACAGTTTGCCTTTAGTGCAAAAATATACATTAGATCCTAAAAAATGTGAAATTTACTGCTCGAATTTATAAAGAAATCATTAATATAAATTTGAAAAATATACCCGATGTAACTATGCCCTTCTTACTTGCATTGACAGTTTAAGCGTGTTATGCAGATATACTTCGCATTTAAAAGCTTCGCAAAAGTCCACATCAGGTGATTTCTTAGTAGTAGTAGACTAGAAAAAAGCAGTTTTCTAAACAGCCAGGGATAATAAAAGTTAATTAAGCACAAAAATTCTTTCTTGCTAAAAGAAATACTTATAAAACTTATTTATTTTTAATGAATTTATCATATCGTTGTTATCATACATTTGCAAATCAATATTGTTAAGAATATTAACAAAATGATCTCTGAATGCTTAAACTGTAGTTATGACTTACTTTAACTAAATTATCGCCAAAAGACTGTTTCCATTCATGATTATCCACAAAAGAAGAAGTATTTCCAATCACAGATATGATAAACTGAGGAGGCCTAGGCTCGTTCATTTTCCAATAATTTTGCATCAGGTTTACGAGAGAGTCAAGGCAATTGTCGTCGGCAAGTCTGATGTACTGAAAGCAATAAAAAATTTAACAAATTAAAAAACAAATATCAATGCAGAGCGTATAAAATTTTATCCGATTTGATTGCAGTCTACTCTAATTCTGATTTATTAAGTTTAACGGGAATTTCCAAATTCAATATTAAACGTTTACTTTAGATAATGCAGTGTGTGTTTACATCTTTACAGAGGAAATGAAAATGATTCGAAAGATACTAGACAGAAGCTAAGTAAATATTATAATGGAACTTTTCTAAACCTTTTTACCACTGCGAAGTCCTTGAAACGATATTCACGTTTCAAAGAACCCCTATATCAAATTTATTACATTTAATCTTAATATCTTTCTGTTTCATAACATTCATAAGCAAAACATACTTCTTGTCTGACAGCTAGTTTAAGCAAGAAATTATGTGCATTTTTCTCATGTTTATTAACCCCCTCCTAAAACAACTACTCGCTTGGAGAAAGGCCTTACGATAATAATCATTCCTTTTAAAAGTCAACCTCATAATCTGTAAAATAAATATCTAATTTGGTCAACATTTCAGTCGGGTGCTATGTAAGAGCAAGACCGAAAACTATTAATAAAGAGACCGAAAACAATTAACAATGTATTCACATTGCGAAAAAGACGCATTATAAATTAAAGCAAAATTTCATTGTGTATGTATGTCAAAGAGATGTTATTTTTGAAGCAAATGTGTTGGACATACGGAACTTGGAGTTGAAAAGAAGACAAACATACACAGATTTCGTTTCACCTTCCTATGCGAAAAACGATGTCTCGTTCCTTGTTTCGTAACTTGAAGTTTAGAACGCCAATGAATACAACACGAGAGTAGGACCAAATTAAAGTTTTATTCATTACAACCTATTAGTTACCAGTAAAAATTTAACAAACTCAATCACCGCTCCTTGCGGGTTCTTAGAATACAACATATTTTACGTAAGTACAATACAAATAGCATATTTAATGCCTAGCAACCCGATTCTTAGATGTGTACGACTTATATGCATAAATATTACCAAATGGCTAAACTCATTTGCCGAAACTGGCTCAGTTAACGTAAAGAGCAGTTCATATGATAGCAAATGTTTTGATGCATTGCCAAACTTTCTGAATTTGCTAGCTCTTTAAATCCCTGTTAATTTCAGTAAGGCGAGAGTAGGACCAAATTAGGCGAGCGTAGGAAGAACTATATTAAGTACAAGACGAAACTGACAAAAATATCATGCTAATTAAAATGCACCTCACGGCTCATTCACAGCTATTTCTTGCAGGACACCTAGAGCCTTCTTTACAAAAATCTAAGGTCCAGGGATTTCAGACGGATAAACACTGTTCCTAATATAATGAAACGCATCAAAACGGCGACTTTTCGACAGTACACAGAAAGAAGCTTTATATTTTCATTTCAGACCTTGCCTTTCATTTGCTTGCATATCAAATCATGGAGCACTGCTAGCTCATCCCAGAGTGGGTTCTTGGCGGCTAGCTACATGGAGGTTTCCTTCGTTCTGTTCATAGGTAACGTGAATTCAAACCAATTCCACACTTAACTTTCTTGTGATTTGGATACCTGTTCTTTTGTGAATCATTCCGAGAATCTGAAAATACTTACCATAACAATTAACATGCTTGATTTAGAAACTTTTGTGCCCGCTGTAATGGAAGAGATTGCTGTAAATGTTTTTATCATTAGATATAAAATCAGTCCTCTTAACAGCAGTGTAATGACATTTCAAAAAATAAAATTCGCTTATACGTTTTTTAAAACTGTGAGAAATTAATAATTGTCTTTCATTCTATACTTTAAAAACAGATTATTAGCGCATTTATGATGAACTCCATTACTGTGGTTGTGTATGAGGATGCGCTGAATTAATAAACATAACACAGATAATATAAAAGACTATCCATTGATTTTAGTGGCATAAATGCTATTCCGGTATCGAATGCCACACGAAATACAGGAAACTGCTTTTATGGAATATTTATGCTTATATTCGACTAAAGTTAAGCTTTATGTTTTGCAAAAAATGTAATTGGAACGAAAGTACTTGTGCTTGTTGATTTTTTTTTTCAGTTTTATTAATTAATGTTTTTCTTTTCAAATGTATACATACTTTCGCTGGTTTTAAGAGTCCAAAGCCATCCATTTGAAACTCTATGTTTCCATAAGCATTTGTTGGATAACTTTTAATCCTTGGCCCTTCGTTTGCGGGAAGAACTTTGCGTCGGTCTACTGTTCCTGGTAGAACGCTTTCAAATACAGCTCTGGATTTATGTTCCTTGAAAGTACCCCCACAAACACAATTCCTGTTAAAATATGCAATTAATGAAACAAATAACATTTCGAAACAAAACCTTTAGACGTTTAAATAGAGTCAATAAAAAGGGTGACTAATTACTGAACTATCAACGTAATTTCCTGGCTATATTAGACAACACAATACATATTACATAAATAATTAGTCTAGAGGAACTAAAAATATTTTAAATTGTATTAAATTCTAGCATAAAGAGAAAGAAAACTTCGAAAGCATAATCCTAGATTTATTCAATATAAAATTTATGAACCAGGGCATTGATGACTGGCTATCATACAGTATGTTAAAAGTTTTGACTTAAATGCCAGAAAGGCTTAAGGAAGGGGTCTGTTAAAAGATATAAGGTTTAATTAAACATAGTGACGGTAAAGACTGAGAAATAAGTGAAACAAACCATTTAAATAACTTTGGATGTGTATACATGCAAATATCGACTGGATTCGATTCCTATTTGTTTAATAATCTGAATGCAATAAGTATATATATTTATGCTATTTCTTTTAAGTGACCAAAGTAAATACAATCCAGATTCTTTAAGAAAGCGTTCTGTAGAGTCATTAGATTTTTCAAAGCAGGAAATATGAATAAAGGGTAATACCCATCTCTGGGATTCAAAATACGGGACCTTCCAATGTTAGCCGGACGTCCTTTCAATTACACATGATGGCAAGCGAAAACCAGGGAAAAAGTACCTTACATTCTCATACACTTAAAAGGGCGACTCAGGAAGCAGGAAGCCAGTCGCCAAATCGTGGTGGTGATGAATTATCGTCCATCACATTTTAGATCCGGCTTTACACTTGTAGAGAAATTAGGCATTTTTCCAAACAGGAAAAACGAAAAATGTGCAGTGCTTTCGCACAGTGCAATGTTCTCCGGATCTCCTGAGTGCTAGCTTCCATTTACGCCGGGGAAAAGCGGCACGAAGCATGAAATGCTGCACGAAGCATGAAAAGAGGCACGAAGCATGAAAAGCGGCACGAGGCATGAGGGAGAAAATATTTCACAAAGAAATCTTCGACTGATTTACTGTTACTAACTATTTAGTTACACGTGTCTTTGTTATTAGCAGCATTTTTGTTTCCCTGTCTAAGGATTTGGGCTCGTTTTAGTTTACACATGGTACAGGAATCACGATCCATTATCTATTTATTTTAATGACAAAAACAGTTTGAATTAAAACGCAAATAGTGAACTAACAAAAACTGTTGAAATATTATGTTAATACTCCTTTATCTGATTCATCCTGTTCCTTTTTAGAAGTCATTTTTTAATTTGATGAGAAAGGTTGGACTTTATTGTTATGTTTATTGTTGTTTTTGTTCTTGTTATTGATCCTAATTGGTTAGCCATTAGGACAGACCAGATCTATGAGTCCAAGAGACTTTAACATTTCTAATACGCAGGTAGGTCTTTTCAAAAGGTCCTCTTTCATAGGTCCCAAATAGGTGAGAAGATATCCAGGAGTGAAATGATCAGCATTACATTTCCTACTGATGGGATAGATCTTGTTTCCCTGGTCAGATTTATGGCATTTCTGGTGTCCACTTAGGAGCCTCGTCAGAGCAGTCTGCTGAGCACGATTACCCCGAAAAGCAATAGCACCTCCCGGCGGAGTTCCAAAGTACTAAACATTATTTTATTGTTAATCAACCAAACCTATGCAGTCAACAATTTCAGAACTATTAAAACCGGGTCGAAATATCGGTGTCCAACTGCTTTATTCCCTCAGCCATCTCTGGCTCATAGTATATTTAAAATTTGTCTACAGTTATGTGTTCCACGTATCTCTCTCAGGTTGCTATGCTAGTTTGTATAACAATAACAAAGCGGGCCAAGCAGCAAACGAAGAAATATTGAAATTTAGAATATCACATTTTATAAGCAAGAATTTTCTATGAAATCAATATATTGCGAAGTTGCAAGTGTAAATGTAGTGAAAAAATTCAATTCAACTGAAAATTTAAGAATTATGCATTTTAATTTTATTTATATGTCAGTCAAGAAGAAGAAATAGTAGAATCATTAAATATTTTTGAAGCTATGATTATCAGAATAAATTTGATCATTCTAGCAACTGAATTAAATATATTTAAAACATTCTTCACACATGTATGTACACTGAAGTGACAAAAGTCATAGGATACCTCCTAATATTTTGTCGGTCCTCCTTTTGCCCGGCGAAGTGCAGCAACTTGACGTGGCATGGACTCAAAAAGTCGCTGGAAATCCCCTGCAGGAATATTGAGCCATGACGTCCATAATTGTCTATAGACGTCATTAATTGTGAAAGTGTTGACGGTGCAGGGTTTTGGGCACGAACTGACCTCTCGATGATGTCCCATAAATGTTCGATGGGATTCATGTCGGGCGATCTAGGTGGCCAGATCATTCACTGGAATTGTCCAGAATGTTCTAACCAATCGCGAACAATTGTGGCCCGGTGACATGGCGCATTGTCATCCATAAAAATCCCATCGTTGTTTGAGTACGTGAAGTCCATGAATGGCTGTAAGTGATCTCCAAGTAGCTGAAGGTATCCATTTCCAGTCAATGATCGGTTCAGTTGCACCAGAGGACCGAGTCCATGCCATGTAAAAACAGCCCAGACCATTATGGAACCACCACCAGCTTGAACAGTGCCTTGTTGACAACTTGGGTCCATGGCTTCGTGGGGTCTGCGCCACACTCGAACCCTACCATCAGCTCTTACCAACTGAAATCGTGACTCATCTGACCAAGCCACGGTTTTCCATTCGTTTAGGGACCAACCGATATGCTCACGAGCCCACGAGAGTCGCTGCAGGCGATGTCGTGCTGTCAGTAAAGGCACTCGAGTCGGTCTTCTGCTGGCATATACAAGGAAGACAAATTTCGCCGCACTGGACACGTCCCTCCGTACGTCCCACATTGATTTCTGCGGTTATTTGACGCAGTGTTGCTTGTCTGTGAACATTGACAACTCTACGTCAGACTGGTCTCGGTCGTTCGTCGTCGCTGGCTCGGTCGTTAAGTGCAGGTGGTCGGCCCACTGCGCTGTCCATGGTGGGATGTTATGCCTGAAATTAGATACTCTCGGCACACTCTTGACACTGTGGATCTCGGAATGTTGAATTCCCTAACGATATCCGAAATGGAATGACCCATGCGTCTAGCTCCAACTACCATTCCGCGTTCAAAGTCTGTTAATTCTCGTCGTGCGGTCATATTCACGTCAAAGCCTCTTCACATGAATAACTTGAACACAAATAAAAGCCCTGCTAAAGCACTTCGCATTTATACATTTTCTACGCGACACTACTGCCATCTGTATATTTGCATATTGCTATCCCATGACTTTTGTCACTTCAGTGTATGTGCATGGAATACATGGGAAATTTAAAACGCTGTACTTTTAATCACATTTTCTTTAAAGAAAATTACAGTTCTCTGTAAATAATATAATGCTGGGAGAAATTCTTATCTAATAAAGTTCGACAGCTAGTAAGCATAAAAGATTGTCTGCCTCAGTTTTAGGTAGAACTGAGGGTTTTGTGTAAATTTTCTTTAAACAAAATGTGTAATATATTTAATTTATAAAAACAAATTCTGATTTTTAAAATTCTATATTCATTTCCATTGAGAAATAAATTTTGCAGCATTTATAATTCAAAAGTATTAATAAATGGTTAATAATACTAAATACATTCATAAAAGCAATGAGCAGGTGAAATCATACAGTTTTCGTGTCTCCCTTTTCCTGTACGAGTACTAGTACGAGCGTCATTACAGTTACTAAATAATGATTTTTCAAATTTCACACATTAAGTAGTTAAATTATCTGTAACAACTAATTATACTATTAACTATAACTAATATAATTATTAAACTAATTATAATCTAATATTTTAAATCGTATTAAATTCTACCTTAAAATAAAAGAAATCTTAAGAGAGCGTAATCTTAGGGTTATTCAATATAAAATTTATGAATCTGGATTTTAAAAGCTGGCTGTGATGTTGTAATATGTTAAAAGTCTTACCTTCTCACCTTTTCATTTTTTCAACTGGCCCACCAGCGGCAGAGCGGTAAAGTCGCTGAACACTGGTAGTGCGGTCTCGCGAACGGTTCGAATCCCGCGAAAGGTTCGAATCCCTCGAACGGGCTGGCTGCATGGGCGTTTTCGTGATTTTCCCCATGTGTAACGTGTATACGAGCCAGTTTCCCTTAGAACGTCCTCCACGAAGGCATCCCTCCCCTTAGGGCAGATAGCCCTAGTGTGCTTTGACATAATTAAATAAACCAAACCAGTTTTTCAACTATTCATTTGTGAAATTTTAAAACCAGATCTAGCGTCTGGGCATCATATAGAAAGTTTATGGAATGTGAAGCATTAGCGACCAAGCAACTGCTGCATTTAGGATAAACATGGTAGGAAATCTGAGTGTATGCTTGATGTCCCGTAAGAAATTAATGAACTCACATAATAGACTTGGGAACTTACGCATTATAGTAATTAATTTAGTAGAAGTCGTCAAGTTTTCAGAATGTTCCAAACACTGTCAACCATGCTCATAATAATCCTTCAGTCAAGCAACGTCATCGTTTTTGTAGGCGTTCTTTCTGTTGCATTCTAAGTTCTATTTTTATGGATCTCGTGGCATTTTTTTGCCTTGAGCTCAAATTTAAAATATGCTTGAAGAATTTGCCAGCAATAAAAGAAACTACAAAAGCATTTTTTTTTTTTTTTTTTTTTTTTTTTTTTTTTT